TTTTCTCATTGCAACAAAAAGTTAATATTTTCAAGGTTGTACTCATCGGCCAGATAAACCATCACGCATTAAAGAACATATTCGAAGGCATACACAAGAAAAAACAATAGCCTGCCCACGTTGTGGTTCATTATTTTCATGTGGTGTTAAATTTATTGAACATTGTCAATTATCAATCGAAGGTATTATTCATTGAATTCAAAATTTTATTCTTTTTTTATGATTTTAGTTTCACCAAATTTTCAATGTGAAAAATGTGCGCAACAATTTCAATCAAAATCTCTTCTTCAAAAACATCTAAATAAACATGGTTACTATTGATTTTATTTTTGAAAACAATAAAAACTCAAATAATGATATTTGTTTTTTTCCTTTCTCATTCAGCAACAAAACATGCATGTCCATATTGTACACAAATATTTTCAACACCATCAGGTGTAAAACGACATATTATTTATCGACATACAGATATAAAGTATTTTCAATGCCCTGATTGTTCACTTTCGTAAGACTTTTATTGTAATTTTTTAATACAATTCGTTTTTTTTTTTATTTGTATATGTATAGCTTTAAATGTGCAAATAGCCTTACAGTACATCGTCGTCGTTTGCATCTATTACCATTATTAGATAAAATTAATGATGATGATAAAGAACAACCTACTGATTCGAATGATAAACAACAAGTAAATGATGTCTTGTTTTTATTGTAAGAAAAAAGTAGTATTGATAAAATATACTTTTAGCCTCAATATAAATATGCTTGTCATTTATGTGAACGATGTTTTTCACGTGGAAAAAAATTGACTGGACATTTGCTTAAAGTACATCAACTTGGAAAAGCTATGGGATGTACTAGATTAAGGTTAGCATTTTTTTTTCTCTTCTATTATAAAAGTATTTATTGGTAGAAAAGAATTAGGGTGTGAGCGTGGATAAAAAGAACATTCACACCCTAATCATCTCAAATACACTATAAGAATAAAAAGAGGCTCCATGTATCCATATAAGTCACACTCATGAGATATTGTCGATGAAACAAAATGTTTTCTTTTAATAGTTTTTATTGACTGTTATTTTTTTTTAATCTTAAATATTTCTTCAGTTATACAATGCGAAAAGATGGTTTTTTTCGTGTACAAAGTGAACTTGTTCCTGTATCGTTATCATCTGATTTTTCTCTACCACAACAACAACAGCAACAAAGTTTACCATCAACATCTCAACATCTTCCTCATACGACATGTGCATCATTTTTAATCAATCGTTTATTAAACGATCGCGAAGATGGAAATCAACATCCACCATTTAGTCCTGAATTTGAACTTGATCATTGGAATGATGATGAAACTGAAAATACTGATCGTGATGATGATGATGATGATGACGATGATGATGATAATGATGATGATGATATTACAGATTATGTAGATTTATGCTCAAAGAGAGCAATATACACATCAGATATTTTGTGAACATTATGTATATAATTTAATCGTTCTTTGCGTTCTTTTTGTTAAAAAATAAAGACGATAAATATGATCAATTATATTTTGTTGGAAAACACCTTTGACTTGTACTTGTGTTGTGATAATATTTGTCTTTGTTGTATTTGTGAAGTAACAACATACCAAATTCAAGTTGGAACTGAAATAAAATCATAATGATGAATGTTCAGTGACTTTTGTCTGATGAATTCTTTGGATTTTAAGCACCATAAACTTTTAACGTAGTGTTATGTTTAGAAATTTACGGAGCCAAGATTGTTCGTCTTGATCCCAGTCTAGAGATAACTATTACAAAATTTATTCGTATCATATCTAGACAATTCTTCGATACTTATTTTTTTTTATCTATTTAGTCAACAAATAGCGTTTTTTGGTAGGTCATCTTTCTTGAATTATGTTCTGATTGATATGATTATATGATACTTCTCTTAAAACTACAAAATATTTAATTATAATCTTTAGCTCTGGTTAGGACAACTTTTTTCTTAGTGTAGGTCTTAAGAAATTCTCTTCATCATAGTTCCGGTCTTGTACATGTCTAGCTATGATAAAAATCGTTCGAAAACTTAGCATTAAATAAGTATAAGTATTGAGTGATCAATAATGAATGACGGCACTTTACATTTCACATTTTAATCTCTAAATGCGTTTTATTAAACAACAGAATATACCACAAGATGTAGCGTGAAAAACTGTACAAATTAACGTAAAGAAACTTGTTTTAATTGTGTACTTTTTGTTTAAAAGAAAAAAAAGAAAAAGATTCTGTGTGAACAATTTTTACTATTGCAAAAAGTGAGCGCACATTTTTCGATTAATGAAAAGTACACAATTCAAATAAGTTTTGTTATGTAGATTGTAGTGGTTTCCACGTTACATCTTGTGGTATATTATATTTTTTAAATAAAACACATTAAGATATTAAAATGTGAAATGCAAAGTGCGACCATTGGTTATTGGTCACCTAATATATGCAACAAAATCATTAACAAAGAAATATCTAAGTTCATCTACATGCACTACCCTTCCCAGTTGATTACAATTTTACTTGATTTTTTTTATTTCTACCAAGGTATTTGTAAAAAGAATCGAAGTATAGAATTTCAATCTGAAGCTTTACTCATAAGTAGCTCTCGTGAACGTTAGAATATCTTGGAAACTTCACTACAAAAGGTATGTTGTTCTTGAGATACCGTATACAGAAAACAATAGGCTTTCTTCAGAACACATGGGTGTGGGTCTGTGGGTGTGGATGGGATGCGGGTATAAGAAAAGATAACACTCACGCCCACCTACATCAACACCAACACCCAGACCTACACACCCACATCCACACTCATACTCACACCCACACCCTTCTTCGTTTCTCTGTTTAGCATATAAATTTGAATAAATGACGGAATAGTGAAACAGAATAAAAAATGTTGGCAAAAATGTCGCCGCATCCGTCTGAGATGAACTTTCTCGTCAAATGGATTCATTTTTCAAGCACAATATAAATCAACGTACATGTTTCATCATATGAAACCAACTGAAAAATAATATGTTACAATTTAATAGCATTGAACATAGTTTGGTCCAACTGACGTCTACTCTTTCTTTTATTGATGAAAAAAAGTAATTGCCTTTCCTTGCATATAGAAAGTAAGTTTATTATTAATAATCTTCACTGAATATAATTGTTTAGTTTATTTTGGACATTTTTGGAATAAAAATGGAGAGAATTTTTTCTGATTCTTCACACTTTATCAATAGAAGAAAAGAAAAATAATGTTTGATTGAAGGACTCGTATTTATTAATTTTTCTCCTTTTTTTAGTTCGACCAGATTTTAGACGAGCATCGTTTGTAATTTTGATTGGACAATGGTATAGATCTCTAAGAACATTTGAATCAATAAGTACGTAAATGAAATTGACTAATAAAATAAGATCATTTTGTTTTTCGTTTAGACCAGCATGTCGATATTTGTGAACGAAATCTTTCTGAACTGGTTGGACAATTAAAAGAACTTGTCGATTTGGAGATTTATGGTGAAATTTTTGATGAAAAAGTGGAAACTTATCGTTTAATGGCTCAAGCTCGTTTTCCAAATAGTCGAATTGATGTTGAGATATCAAGATTTCAACTTTGAATGTAATTATTATTTCTAATACAATACAGCTATAGCGTAAAAATGACTAACATCTTTTCGTTTTACTCTAATAATAAGAATTTATCTCTTATTGTTTGTATTTTGTTTCTTAAATAAAAAGTAAAATCCAAATCCATTTGTAACGAAACTTTTCCCTTCCAATAAATCTCATATATGAATACAATCGTTAATCAAGGGTGTGGATGTGTGGATGTGAACGTGGGTGTAGGTGTGGCTGGGTGTGAGTGAAGGTATGATGTGGGTGTGCGGCTATAAAATTTCATTTACATTTACATTCACACCCACACCACACCTACACCCACATTCCAAACCGACAAAAACCTTCAAATGGTGAAAGGTCATTGAGTATTTTGAAAATTTTCGAAAGTATTATGCACGTTTTATAAAACGTTACATTAAAAAACTTTGATATTCTTCTAGAAACAAAGGAAATTGATAGCTGTATGCATAACTTTAGTAAACAAAATGAATGAAGACATTCAGAAGCTTGTACAGATCTTGTAAGATCTTGGATAGGTATCGGAAGGCTTTCAAGGTATAACTGGAAAATATCAGCAGTAGACCTAGCTCAAAGTGGATAGAATATTGTTCCTGAGAATTTCCTCTATCTATTGATATGTCACAGGTAATACAAAAGTGTGGGTGCCACGAAAGAAATTTCATAGAAAGAGACACGTTTAGTAAGACAGAAGTTTTAAGGAACGGTTGTGAATTAATAAGCAATCATTTGAAATTATGCTGTATATAACACTTCTGTAAACTGAAAGTATATTGTGTAAAGTGTGACTGGTAAAATCTGAAGTGGTAGTGCATTAACGACCATTGGAAACTGAACTGTATTGAATATATCGTTGTATTGGAAGAGTACTGCAAGAAGTTACCTAAAGAAAAGCAGAAGTGATAGGATATAACAGCTGTATGTTTAACTCGTGATAGCTTTGGTTGAAACTTTGTTTTTCCATTTGTGTGATGCTTCATATTTTGTGTAATACAAAAGATAAGAGACTACTGGATGTTTGTTTTCATTCCTCGATGAATATCAATATCCAAAGATTATTTGAAAAAAAAGACTAGTGAAATTCAATCAAGAGTACTTTATTAATAGCCGTAACAAATTCAACATTTGCGGAACAAAATTCACAAAGAACAATACGAAACAATAAAATTTGCAAGAACAGGAAATTTTATACAAAATTATTGTTTTTATTCTTCAACACTTTGATCCTCAGATTCTTGTGTCAAATCAACTAGAGTGATTTCATCCATTGTTAAATCAATAATTTCTGGTTTTGGTAAATCAATCTTCTTGTTAGCACCTGGATTATCATTATTCTCATCAGACTCTGTCGTGAGATCGACGAAAGCTGAAAACAAATATATTCATGAACATTAAGAAGAACATGAAGGTTAACATTTGAGTCTTACGTAATCGCTTGTGTTCCTGATATTATTAAAGCAATAAAGAATTGCGCTCAACTCCATCACCAACAGCAACAGTATGTGCTGTTACTGTAATCTGATGCACATAATTCTAAAACAAAATAATTATAACGAATTATAAGACAATTTTTCAATATTCACTTACTGGCTCAATGTTTATGTCTTCCAAAACCGCTGAACGTATTTGTGTGAATTGAAAAAAGTTTGATGCAGCCATTTGAAGAAGAGCGAAGAAGCAGACACATCAACTGAGTCGAAACTTTTTATTTCGTGTACTTCTAATAAAAAATACACCATTCGAAAGAGCGCGAAAAACTGAGTCTAATGATGTAGTTTTCATGGAGGGGTACTTCCAAGTCCCTAGCAAAAAGTTTTAAAAAACATTTCTCAATAAGCTCAATCATAGTGCTTCGTCCTTTCGCCATTTTTTCTCTTCCTGCACATATATCGTGACGTATATATGTCAAGATATATGTGCAGGAAAAGAAATAACTTCAATCATTATATTTCTTTTTCAAGATTAATTTTATTAATAAAATATCTTTTCCAATGGAGGTTATGTTAATTTTTAAAACATTGTAAGAAATTTATTTTTTTATTCAAAAACAAATTTTATTTAATGATCTTGTTTTAAATTCATCTATTAGTTTATCCTAGTTTTTTTCACTTAATTTCTTTCGATATCATACAACAAACATATAGAACAGTTTATTACAATAGTTCAAATATATGAGAAAAGTCTTGATGAGAAAAGACCATTGATAAAGTGGTGATGAAAAATTATTTTAAATGTTGGTTGATATAGTCTCTTTTGTAAGTTCAATAGATATTTGAATTGACTATAAAATTTAAAAAAAAGAAAATTGAAATTAGATTTGAAAATAAATAAACCTTTTTCTTATTTGATTAATTGATGGAAAAAAAACATTGGATATTGTTTGATATGTACGAAAACATAAGCAACGCAATCTTAAGTTGATTCAATAAAAATTTCTTCTATTTGATTAATTATTTTGAGATCAATTCTCCTCCATTGAATAAAAACAAAAAAGTTTCTTCTCTTGGATCATGAAGATATATTTTAATATAACAATTACAAAGATACATGTCTTATATATTTACAAGAACACAAAAATAAGAAAAACACTGGCAACAAGAATAAATGAACGAATCGATTTACAAAAAATAATGCTTTCTATTTTTTATCTTTTTATTTTGATTAATTTTTTTTGATCAATAAAACACGTTTTAAACAAGCGGATATACAAAGAAAAAAAATGACAATAATTAGTTCATTAATTACTCAAGGAGTTTCTTTCAGAAGTCGAAAATACAAAAAATATGCCACTCCTGTTTGCCGAGCTCTATTGTCACCATCAAAGTAGTGACGTATTTTTTCAACTTGTTTGAATTCAAGGCGGTTTGCGTTGTGAATGTAGTCACCTTTGATAAAGCACGTATCTAAGTTGAGTAATTCAACTAAAAAAGAAGAAACGATCCGTCTTTTACTGATCCCAATCTTTCTAATGCTGAAACAACGGCAGTGTTTGAGAGTGATATTTTGCCAACACGTTTTTCACCTTTTGCTCGATCAGATGTGGCCCGAAAAATAATTTGTTGAATATGAGGACCGATTCCTCGAAGCCACTGAGTTTTTGGTAGATTTCTTGCTTTCGGTACAATACATACATCATTTGAATTTTGTCCAAAGTGAAGTTTTTTAAAATATTCATCACCTGGTTTAGGTCGATTAATTCGAAAATTATATGTTTTCATCTTTAATTTAATAATAATTATTCCGTAATACAATCGAAGTGAAATAAATTGATAGATTTGAAAATGATTATTTTATAGAATAGACGATAATGATATTAATCTAAAACAGATAAAAAAATTTCTATTTTTTTAAATATAACGGTTGAAATAATATTGCATTCGAAAATAGCAAGACTTTCGAAGTTTTTGACAGCACTCGAAGTCTTCGATAGATTTAAACTAAAATTCTTTAAATTTTATCTTCAATTTTATTAAAATGAGATATAATTTCGTTCAAACGAACTAATAAAACAGGTTGTTAGTGTCTCATTGTCATAGATAATGTTTTTCG